GTTAAGCGTCTGCCTTCGGCTCAGGTCATGATCCTGGGGTCCTGGGATCGAGCCCCGCATCGGGCTCACTGCTCGGCGGGAAGCCTGCTTCTCCTTCTCCCACTCCCCCTGCTTGTGTTCCCTCTCTCGCTGTGTCTCTCTCTGTCAAATAAAAAAAAAAAAGAAAAAGAGTGGAATGGATTAATTGCACCATGTGGTACCAAGAAAGCGGAGGTGAGAACGGTCCACCCAAGCAGGGAGGAATATTTTAGCATCAGCGGTGTTTAGAATCACCAGCACGTGATGACAATAAAAAGCAAACCAACTGGGTCCCCTTGCATTTAAATTCCCTACCAACTGCACACCCCCTTGTTGCCTGCATCTGGGGCAGATGGCCCTCTGGTCTCCACCCCCCACCCATGCCACTGCTGTGGGATATTTATGGAATGGAGTGCTGAAATGCTATATAAAAATTAAGCAAATTTTAAAAATATGCATCACAGATGAAGCTCAAACATAATGTTGAATGGAAAAAAACCGAAGAGTGCACACTCTGTGATGCCACTGACATGAAATTGCTGAGTGAAATAAAGCACAAGCCTGTGGTCCGGCACTATTTCTGGTTTAAAAAAAAAAAGATCCACGCAAACTGAATAACAACAGATGCAAATCCACCAGCAACATGGATCTGAACAATCACAGGATGTATAGAAGTTTGCTATGGTTTACATGAACTGTTGCATTAAAAAAAATTTTTTTTTGTTTTGTTTTGTTTAAGTAGGCTCCATGCCCAGCGTGGAGCCCAAGGCAGGGCTTGAACTCATGACCCTGAGATCAAGACCTGAGCTAAGAGTCAGAGGTTTAACTGACTGACCCACCCAGGTGCCCCTGTTGCATTTTTTACTAAATGCACATGTGCCCAGGAAGATAAGTATTTGGATGTTGTTTTGCAATATTATTTGTAATAAAATTTTGGAAGCAAAAAAAAAAAGAGGCAACCCAAATCTCCCAAGATTAATGGATAAGTAGAGTTGCCACCTGTACACAATGGAATATTACACAGCCGTTAAAATGAACATGACTAAGAAGAATCAGCCAGGATCACTCGATCATTTGATGTTGAGTGGAAAAAAAAAATTGCAGGGGCGCCTGGGTGGCTCAGTTGTTAAGCGTCTGCCTTCGTCTCTGGTCTTGTTCCCAGGGTCCTGGGATCGAGCCCCGCATCGGGCTCCCTGCTCAGCAGGGAGCGTGCTTCCCCCTCTCCCTCTGCCTGCAGCTCCCCCTGCTTGTGCTTGCTTTCTCTCTTCTCTCTCTCTGACAAATAAATAAAGGCTTAAAAAAAATAAAACTAAAAAAAATTGCAGAATATCATTTGTACAGTGTTAAACAATGTATGTAAATGTATAATAAACAGGACAGAGTGAACCATGCTCGAGCACCTACTATGTTCCAGGTGCCTTCCTGGGCCCCCACAGCAACCCCGTGAGCTAGTTACTAATACTGCCCGACAGCCCACAGCTGGGAGGGAGCCCAGGTCTGGGACCCACAGGCTGGCCCCGAGACGCCCCTCCCTGCCAGCCGGCCTGGGACCCAGCTGTCCAGGCTGGGCTCTCAGGCCTGGCCCGCGATCCTGAGCCCTGAGCCGGCGCCGGGCAGGAGGCCCTGTAACTCCAGCCACACTCCCGCCCCTGCCCGCCCCTCCTTCACCTCAGTCTTGGGCTGGGCTGCCCACAATGCCTCCTATTCAGCCCCGTCCCGGCTGCCAGGCCTGCGGGCCCGACAGGGGGGCTCCCGCCGCATCCAGGCTGGACTGGCAGTGTGAGGCGAGGCGGCATGGAGGGGTGAGTGTGTGGGCCCTGGGAGGGCACCAGGGGGGTCTACAGAAGCTGAGGGGCTGCAGGCAAGCCCCTGGCCCTCTCTGGGCCTCTGACGGGTTGGGGGACAGGGGCTCTGGGATCTGTTGGGGGGAGAGATTCTCCAAGGCTGTCCCCGAAGTGGTTTCTGAGGAAGGTGGTGAATGGCAGGGTGGATGCTCCAGCGAGCTGCCGTGGGCGCGTCCTCAACCTCAGCAGGCCTCAACCCTGGACGCTTGTCCCTGAGGGGTCTGTCCCCACGGGCCCCCCTTCCCCGGTCCACCCTGAGCCTCGGGAGGATGCCAGCAGCCCCGGGCTTCAAGGGGACGAGACTTCAAGGAGACTGAACAATAGAGGGCGAGGAGCAGTGAGGAGGCTGAGGGTGGGGGCCCAGCCCAGGGCCTGGCACGGGCTGCCCAGAGGCCGAGATGCGGGCTGAGAACAGCAGGAAGAGCCGGGGGACTTAGGAGTCACGGGCGGCGAGGAGGAAGCTCTGTCGTGTGTGTTTCTGGTCTGGGAGCCAAGGGTGACACTGGAGAGTCGGAGCACTCCGGATCCAGGTGGGATCAGGAGTCAGGCAGTGGGGAGATGCTGGAGGGCTTCAAGTTGGCGGTGTCAGAGCCCGTCTGTATCTTGGAATATCTTGGAAGGTTGCCTTCGGTTGGTGGTGGTGAGCAGAGTGTGGGGGAGCCAGCAATCACCCCTAAGAGGCAACAGGCAGCGGTTGCGGTTGTGAGGTGAAGGGGTCCCACTGGCTGATGGATGGATATGCTGGGGGAAGATGGACGGGGAAGGGGATGGAGCCGCCCAAAGCAGAGCCCGGGACCATCCCCTCAGCCGTCCCGTTCCGGGCTGGTGGGGTGGCATCAGATGGACGACAGGCCTAAGCCTCCTGCTCACCTGCCAGCATGGCTCTGACCAGCCAGTAAGGCTCCTCGAGCCCCTCGGACCCCGTAACACCTGGTCCCCCGAACCTGGCCTTAAACACTTAGGCCCGGCCTGGGTGCCCCTCTGGCTGCAGGCCGTCTTCCTACAGCGGGTGCCACTATGCTCCCTCCAACCATGTCTGGGGACGGGCTGCTTCTGTCTCTGGCACCCTCACACTGGGGAGGTCCAGGCCTCCCCCTGGACCCAGGAGCCTCATCACAGCCCGGGCACACCCGCTGAGCCCTCAGGTCATCCTTGCATTCAGCAAGGCCTCCCTGAGCCGAGGGGCAGGCGGTCGAGGAGACTTGCCAGGTCGCCTTTCTGAGCCTCAGTTTCCCCCAGTGTTAAACAAGGCTAACGATAGAAGCTTTGCTGCATGGAGCGTCGTGAGGCTCAGAGCAATGACGCCTTCCCTGGGGCCAAAGAAGGAAGACATCTCAGGGGCTCCGGAAACAGGAGCTAGGCTCGGTGAGTGGACAGCGTGGGACCCTTGCCCCTGTGAACAACGGACCATTCCTCCCTCTCCCAGGCCCCGGAGAGTCTCCTTGGTGCTGCTGCTTCTGCTGCTGCTGCCACTGGGCCCAGCTTGGCATACAGCTGCCCAACGCTGCCCACAGACGTGCATTTGCGACAGTCCCGGGCGGCACGTGGCCTGTCGGCACCAGAACCTCACGGAGGTGCCAGACGCCATCCCTGAGGTCAGCAGGGTGAGGGGGGCAGGGAGGACAGCAGGAGGAGCCTGGGTTGGCACCAGGGGATCTGCCACTGCCTGGCTGGGAGACCTTGGCATGTCACCTTTCCTCTCTGAGCCTCAGTCTTCACATCTGTAAAATGGGAATAACAACCACCACTAGGGAGACAATCTATTTAAAATTCTATGCGATTGGAACAAGTAAGTGACCTATAAGATAAATATTGAATTGGGACGCCTGGGTGGCTCAGTCGGTGAAGCGTCGTCTGCCTTCGGCTCAGGTCGTGATCCCAGGGTCCTGGGATCGAGCCCCACATCGGGCTCCCTGCTCAGCACAGAGCCTGCTTCTTCCTCTGCCCCTCCCCCTGCTTGTGCTCTCTCTCTCTGATAAATAAATAAAAAATCTTAAAAAAATATGGAATTAATCACAAACCCTGTGGGAGAGAACCAGAGAGAACAGGGGATGTACTGGAGTAAGATATGGTCTCTGCTCTGTGGAGTCAAGGGCTAGGAGGGAAGAGAGAAAGTGAACAGGCAGCGACAGTTCGATGTGAAAAGTGCCCAGGTGGCTAGTGGGGGAAGGCTTCCTGGAGGCGGTGTCGGGGAGCAGGACGAAGAGAATGAGGAAAAGGTGAGGGGGAGGGAGTGTCCAGCTGAGGGAACAGCGCGTGCAAAGGCTGTAGTCCTCACGCTCTTCAGCCTCCCCCTGCCTCTCCCCGCTCAGCTGACTCAGCGGCTGGACCTCCAAGGCAACATGCTGAAGGTGATCCCCCCAGCTGCCTTCCAGGATCTGCCTTATCTGACACATCTGGACCTGCGGCACTGCCAGGTGGAGCTGGTGGCCGAGGGCGCCTTCCGCGGCCTGGGCCGCCTGCTCCTCCTCAACCTGGCCTCCAACCGCCTGAGCTCGCTGCCCCAGGAGGCCCTGGATGGGCTGGGCTCGCTGCAGCGGCTGGAGCTGGAGGGGAACATGCTGGAGGAGCTGCGGCCGGGCACGTTCGGGGCGCTGGGGGCGCTGGCCACACTGAACCTGGCCCACAACGCCCTGGTCTACCTGCCCGCCATGGCCTTCCAGGGGCTGGCGCGCGCGCGCTGGCTGCAGCTGGCCCACAACGCGCTCAGCGTGCTGGCCCCCGAGGCCCTGGCCGGCCTGCCCGCCCTGCGCCGGCTCAGCCTGCACCACAACGAGCTGCAGGCCCTGCCGGGGCCAGCCCTGTCCCAGGCCCGCGTCCTGGCCCGCCTCGAGCTGGGCCACAACCCCTTCACCTACGTGGGCGAGGAGGACGGGCTGGCGCTGCCCGGCCTCCGGGAGCTGCTGCTGGACCACGGCGCCCTGCAGGCGCTGGACGCCAGGGCCTTCGCGCGCTGCCCCCGCCTGCACACCCTGGACCTCCGCGGGAACCAGCTGGCCGCCCTGCCCCCGCTGCAAGGCCCCGGGCGGCTGCGCCGGCTGCGGCTGCAGGGCAACCCTC